TACTAGAAAAACACAGGTCTGTCTACCAAGAAACACAGGTACTGTTCTACAAGTAAAAAACAGGTACTTTTTACAAGAAGAAACACAGGTACTGCCTACAAGAAACACAGGTACTGTCTACAAGAAACACAGGTACTGTCTACAAGAAAAACAGGTACTTTCTACAAGAAACACAGGTACTGTCTACAAGAAACACAGGTACTGTCTACAAGACACACAGGTACTGTCTAAAGGACACTCAGGTATCGGTTACCAAGAAAACACAGGTACTGTTCTACAAGAAAAACAGGTGCTGTTTACAGAAACCCAGGTACTGTCTCAAGAAAAAAAACAGTACTTTCTACAAGAAACACAGGTTCTGTCTACAAAAAAACACAGGTAACTGTTCTACAAGAAACCACAGGTACTGTCTACAAGAAAAACAGTGTAATGTCTAAAAGAAACACGGTACTGTTAACAAGAAAAACAGGTCTGTCTGCAAGATAACACAGGTACTGTCTACAGAAAATACAGATTTACTTTCTACAAGAAACACAGGTACTGTCATACAAAAAAACAGGTACTGTCTACAAGAAACCAGAGGTTACTGTCTACAAGAAAAAACAGGTAATGGTCTACAAGAAACACAGGTACTGTCTACAAGAAAACAGGTCTGTCTGCAAGAACACAGGTATGTACTGGAAACACAGGTATTGGTTTACAAGAATCACAGTACTGTCTACAAGAAACACAGGTACTGATCTACAAGAAAAACAGGTATGTCTACACGAAACACTTGGTTTCTGTCTACAAGAACAGGTACTGTCTACAAGGAAAAACAGGTAATTTCTACATGAAACACAGGTACGTTCTACAGGAAACACAGGTACTGGTCTACAAGAAACCACAGGCAGTCTAATAAGAAAACAAGGTGCTGCCTACAAGAAAACCCCAGGTACAGTCTACAAGAAAAACAGGTACTTTTACAAGGATAACACAGGTACTGTCTACAAGAAACACAGGTACTGTCTACAAGAAACACAGGTACTGTCTACAAGAAAAACAGGTAATGTCTACAAGAAACACAGGTACTGTCTACAAGAAACACAGGTACTGTCTACAAGAAACACAGGTACTGTCTACAAGAAACACAGGTACTGTCTACAAGAAACACAGGTACTGTCTACAAGAAACACAGGTACTGTCTACAAGAAACACAGGTACTGTCTACAAGAAAAACAGGGTAACTGTCTACAAGAAACACAGGTACTGTCTACAAGAAACACCGGTACTGGCTACAAGATAAATAGGATAATGTCTACAAGAAACAAGGTACTGTCTAAATGGAAACCACAGGACTGTCTACAAGAAAACAGTACCTGTCTACAAGAAACACAGGCATGTTCTACAAGAAACCCACAGGACTGTCTTACACGATAACACAGGTACTGTGACAAGAAAACAGGTACTGTCTACAAGAAACACAGGTACTGTCTACAAGAAATGCTAGGGTACTGTCTACAAGAATAACACAGGTCGTTACAAGAGACAGGTACTGTCTACAAGAAACACAGGTATGTCTACAAGAAAACCAGTGGCACTGTCTACCAGTATATACACAGGTACTGTCTTACAAGAACATCAGGCACTGTTTACGAGGAATCACTGGTACTGTCTAAAAGAAACACAGGTTACTGTCTACAATGGACACACAGGGCACTGTCTACAAGAATACACAGGTACTGTCTACAAGAAAACACATGCACTGTCCCTACATGAAACCAAGGTACTGTCTAAGAAACACAGGTACTGTCTACACGAAACCAGGTAACTGTCTACAAGAAACACAGGTACTGTCTACAAGAAACACAGGTACTGTCTACAAGAAACACAGGTACTGTCTACAAGAAACACAGGTACTGTCTACAAGAAACACAGGTACTGTCTACAAGAAACACAGGTACTGTCTACAAGAAACACAGGTACTGTCTACAAGAAACACAGGCATGTCTAAAGAAACACAGGTACTGTCTACAAGAAACACAGGTACTGTCTACAAGAAACACAGGTACTGTCTACAAGAAACACAGGTACTGTCTACAAGAAACACAGGTACTGTCTACAAGAAACAGGTACTGTCTACAAGAAACACAGGTACTGTCTACCAAGAAACACGGTTCTGTTACAAGAAACACTGGTTATGTCTACAAGAAACACAGGCCTGTCTACTAGAACACAGGTACTTCTACGGCATTGACTGTATGTATGGTCAGATATTAAGTAATTAAGTAAAGACTGAGGACAACGCAGTGTATATACGTAGCATGACTGTTAAGTATGGTACAGATATTAAAGTTTTAATTAAGTAAGACTGAGACAACGCAGTGTATATAAGTAGCATGTCTGTAAGTATGGTACAGATAGTTTAAAGTAATTAAGTAAAGACTGAGACAACGCAAGATGTATATAAGTAGCATGACTGTAAAGTATGGTACAGATATTTAAAGTAATTAAGTAAGACTGAGACAACGCAGTGTATATAAGTAGCATGACTGTAAGTATGGTACAGATATTAAAGTAATTAAGTAGACTGTGAAACGCAAAGTGTTTATAAGTAGCAGACTGTAAGTAGGTACAAGATATTAAAGTAATTAATTAAGAATTGAGCAACGCCCAGTGTATCTAAGTAGCATGACTGTAAGTATGTTACAGATATTAATAGTAATTTAGTAAGACTGAGAAACGCAGTGTTATATAAGTAGCAGGACTGTAAGTATGGTACAGATATTAAAGTAATTAAGTAAGACTGAGACAACGCAGTGTATATACAGTAGATGACTGTAAGTATGCTACAGATATTAAAGTAATTAATAAGACTGGACAAACGCCGTGTAATAAGTAGCTTGACTGTAAGTTGGCTACAGATTTTAAAGTAATTAAGTTAGACTGAGAAACGCAGTGTATATAAGTAGCTTGACTGTAAGTATGGTAACAGATATTAAAGTACTTAAGTAAAAGACTGAGACAACGCAGTGGTATATAAGTAGCCATATGACTGAAAGTATGGTACTGATATTAAAGTAATTAAGTGAGGACTGGAGCCAAACGCAGTGTATATAAGTGCATGACTGTAAGTTATTGGTACAGATATTAAGTATATTACGTAAGATGAGACAAACGCATGTATATAAGTATCATGGCTGTAAGTTATGGTACAGATATTAAAGTAATTAAGGTAAGACTGAGTCAACGCAAGTTGTATTTAAGTAGGCATGGACTGTAAGTTTTGGTACTGATATTAAAGTAATTAAGTGAGGATGAGGACAACGCAGGTGTTATAAGTAGCTGACTGTAAAAGTATGGTACAGTATTAAAGTATTAAGTAAGACTGAGACACCGAGTGTATATAAGTAGCATGACTGTAAAGTATGGTACAGATATTAAAGTCTATTAAGGGTAAGGACTGAGGGGACAAACGCAGTGTATTATATGTAGCATGACTGTAAGTATGGTACAGATATAAGTAATTAAGTATGACTGAGACAACCGCTGTTGTATATAAGTAGCATGACTGTAAGTATAGTACGATATTAAGTTAATTAAGTAAGATGAGACTACGCAGGTGTATATACGTAAGGCATGACTGTAAGTATGGTCCGATATTAAAGTAATTAAGTAAGTGAGACTGAGGAAACGCAGTGTATATAAGTAGCATGACTGTAAAGTATGGTACAGATATTAAAAGTATTAAGTAAGGACTGAGACACGCAGTGTATATAAGTGCATGACTGTAAGTTATGGTACAGATATTAAAGTAATTAAGTTAGGCCTGAAGACAACGCAGTTGTATTTAAGTAGCTGACGGTAAGTATGGTACAGTTATTAAAGTATTAACGTGAGACTGAGGATCAAACGCAGTGTATTCAGTGTATATTAAGTAGCATGACTGTAAGTATGGTACAGATATTAAAGTAATTAAGTAAGGGACTGAGACAACGCAGTGTATATAAGTAGCATGACTGTAAGTATGGTAAGATATTAAAGTAATTAAGTAGATGAGACAACGGCAGTGTTTATAAGTAGCATGACTGTATGTATGGTACAGATATTAAGCATTAAGTAAGGAAAAACCTTTGGAGACAAGCTAGTGTAGATAAGTAGCATGACTGTAAGATGGGACAGATATTAAAGTAATTAAGGTAAGACTGAGACAACGCAAGTGTATATAAGTAGCATGACTGTATTTGGTACAGATATTAAAGTAATTAAGTGGGAGACTGTGAGACACGCAGTGTATATATGTTGTGACAGTAGTATGGTTACAATATTAAAGTAATTAAGTAAAGGATGGGGGAGACACGAGTTGTATTTAAGTAGCATGACTGTAAGTATGGTACAGCTATTAAAGTTATAATTAAGTGAGACTGAGACAACGCAGAGTTGAGTGTATATACGTAGCAGGACTGTATGTATGGTACAGATATAAGTTAATTAAGTGAGATGGAGACAACGCAGTGTATATAGTAGATGACTGTTAAGTATGGTACAGCTATTAAAGTAATTTAAGTAGTCTTGAGACCAACGCAGTTAGTGTTTATAAGTAGCATACTTTTAAGTATGGTACAGTATGAAAGTAATTACGTAGGACTGAGACAACGCAGTGTATATAAGTAGCATGACTGTAAGATGGTAAGATATTAAAGTAAGTAAGTGAGACTGAGACACCGCAGTGTATATACAGTAGCGGGGCATGATCTGTAAGTATGTACCGTTTATTAAGTAATTAAGTTAAGACTGAGGACAACGCAATAAAAAAAATAAATAATAATAATAAAAATTTATAATAATAATAATAATTAAATAATAATAAATAATTATTATTATTATTATTATTATTATTATTATTATTATTATTATTATTATTATTATATTACTACTGCACTGCTACTACTATTACTACTGTTACTACTACTACTGCTACTATTGCTACTACTATTACTACTACTAACACTGGTACTGACCCAGGAAGGCAGTAGGAGAGATGATTCCAGTCCTCTTGGCCACCACTATGGCGATGCCAGTGTCTAGAAATGGAACAGTAAAATCCAACACTTCCTCCCGCTGAGAGTTTATCTTGATGGAAGTCATAATCATGTCAGCCTTGCCGTTGATGATGGCACCAGGCAGGCCCGTCCACTTGCCGTTCTGCGAAGGGAAACGGAGAAAAAAAATATCTCGTCAGCGTCACCCTCAGGAGTAATAACGACACAACGAAGCAAATTGTGACCACTATCATCATTCACGTTGTTTTACTTGCTAACGTCAATGGCTCCTGTCTTTATCATAGCTTAAAAATTCTCTCTCAACAGTTCACAACTGTTCTGTCATCGCAATTTGTTCCAATATTTGTTTCCCTGCAGCAGTCCCCACCGATTACCATAATTCAGGCAACAATCAACTTATCAACTACTATGACCACTAATTACTCTACAATTTTCCCACCAATCTCCATCATAACAAAGTTCTCACAAGTCAGAAAACAGTGCCCTGAAAGTCTTGGGAATCCATTTCCCAGATATCAACACCCACACAAAAGAATATATTACAAAAGTCTTGGGAATTTACTCGCCAACTTTCAGCACCCAAGAAACTATATTTTATAAGTATTGGGAATTTACTCGCCAACTTTCAATACCGAAAAGCCTATTTGAAGTCTTGGGATTCGACTCGCCAGCTTTCAACACCTCAAGACCCCTCTCTTCTAAAAATCATGTCACTTGATACGTCAGGTAAAGTAATTACAGTGACTGTCGGCACTGAAGAACCCAGAAGTGACAGGTAAGTAGAAGGAGGAGCCGTCGCGATTTCATTAAAAACTCGTAATTAACATCCTTTGAAAGTTTCCGATCTATTGCAATCGTTGCAAATTGTAATTAACGAGAAGAAACAATTACGATTGCCTCCAAAACAACTGCAGTTTTCTTGAAATTGCCAAGAGAGAGAGAGAGCTGGTTATGAAGGCTTGAGTGAGCTATCGCCCAGGTACCTATTTACTGCTAGGTGAATGTGGGTAATAGGTGTAAGGGAACTAACATCTTTGCTACTGACTATTTTGAATTAGGCTTCCATTTTGTGTTATACAGCTGCACTATTTTTTTTATATCTCCAAGTGTGTGTTAACACTCCAAGTGTGTGTTAACACTCCAAGTGTGTGTTAACACTCCAAGTGTGTGTTAACACTCCAAGTGTGTGTTAACACTCCAAGTGTGTGTTAACACTCCAAGTGTGTGTTAACACTGCAAGTGTGTGTTAACACTCCAAGTGTGTGTTAACACTCCAAGTGTGTGTTAACACTCCAAGTGTGTGTTAACACTCCAAGTGTGTGTTAACACTCCAAGTGTGTGTTAACACTCCAAGTGTGTGTTAACACTGCAAGTGTGTGTTAACACTCCAAGTGTGTGTTAACACTCCAAGTGTGTGTTAACACTCCAAGCGTGTGTTAACACTGCAAGTGTGTGTTAACACTCCAAGTGTGTGTTAATACTCCAAATGTGTGTTAACACTCCAAGTGTGTGTTAGCACTCCAAGTGTGTGTTAACACTCCAAGTGTGTGTTAACACTCCAAGTGTTTGTTAACACTCCAAGTGTGTGTTAACACTGCAAGTGTGTGTTAACACTCCAAGTGTGTGTTAACACTCCAAGCGTGTGTTAACACTGCAAGTGTGTGTTAACACTCCAAGTGTGTGTTAATACTCCAAATGTGTGTTAACACTCCAAGTGTGTGTTAGCACTCCAAGTGTGTGTTAACACTCCAAGTGTGTGTTAACACTCCAAGTGTTTGTTAACACTCCAAGTGTGTGTTAACACTCCAAGTGTGTGTTAACACTCCAAGTGTGTGTTAACACTCCAAGTGTGTGTTAACACTCCAAGTGTGTGTTAATACTCCAAGTGTGTGTTAACACTCCAAGTGTGTGTTAGCACTCCAAGTGTGTGTTAACACTCCAAGTGTGTGTTAACACTCCAAGTGTTTGTTAACACTCCAAGTGTGTGTTAACACTCCAAGTGTGTGTTAACACTCCAAGTGTGTGTTAACACTCCAAGTGTGTGTTAACACTCCAAGTGTGTGTTAATAGTCCAAGTGTGTGTTAACACTCCAAGTGTGTGTTAACACTCCAAGTGTGTGTTAACACTCCAAGTGTGTGTTAACACTCCAAGTGTGTGTTAATACTCCAAATGTGTGTTAACACTCCAAGTGTGTGTTAACACTCCAAGTGTGTGTTAATACTCCAAATGTGTGTTAACACTCCAAGTGTGTGTTAGCACTCCAAGTGTGTGTTAACACTCCAAGTGTGTGTTAACACTCCAAGTGTGTGTTAACACTCCAAGTGTGTGTTAGCACTCCAAGTGTGTGTTAATACTCCAAGTGTGTGTTAACACTCCAAGTGTGTGTTAGCACTCCAAGTGTGTGTTAATACTCCAAATGTATGTTAACACTCCAAATGTGTGTTAATACTCCAAGTGTGTGTTAACACTCCAAGTGTGTGTTAACACTCCAAATGTGTGTTAGCACTCCAAGTGTGTGTTAACACTCCAAGTGTGTGTTAACACTCCAAGTGTGTGTTAACACTCCAAGTGTGTGTTAACACTCCAAGTGTGTGTTAACACTCCAAGTGTGTGTTAACACTCCAAGTGTGTGTTAACACTCCAAGTGTGTGTTAATACTCCAAGTGTGTGTTAACACTCCAAGTGTGTGTTAATACTCCAAGTGTGTGTTAACACTCCAAGTGTGTGTTAACACTCCAAGCGTGTGTTAACACTCCAAGTGTGTGTTAACACTCCAAGTGTGTGCCAACACTGAGTGTGCCCGAGCATCTAACTCCAGATCAGCGGTAAAGCCCAAATCTCACTACACAATACTAGCAATCTAGCATTATTATTATTATTATTATGTCCAGTGAAAGAGCGCTAAAGCCGTAAGGATGGTCATCAAAACCGTACCAACTGGACAAGAGGATTTAAACCAGAGATTCATAGGAAGATTAAAGTCAGAAAATTGTGAAGAAATTCTATTTCCCTCACTGACGTTATTACTAACTTTCTTAATTATCCTCTTCTAGGGCTGGTGTCACACAGTGTCAGTATGACACAGCAATATGACACAGCAGGAGACGACACAGTGATATGACACAACAGGAAATGACACAACAGGAAATGACACAGCAGGAGACGACACAGTGATATGACACAACAGGAAAAGACACAGCAGGAGACGACACAGCGATATGACACAACAGGAGATGGCACAGTAATATGACACAACAGGAAATGACACAGCAGGAGACAACACAGTAATGTGACACAACAGAAGACGACACACATAACAAGGGCTGGTGAAGGCTCACTCCTCCGTCGTATATTACCGAGACTTGTATGCTAAATATGTTCACTAACCTGTATGTACAGATGACAGCGAAGAACGACCATTAACTATAGATACTTGGTGAACGACTCTAACTATAGATACTAAGCAACAACAGTAACTATAGATAATATTAAAGAATAATAACTATAGGCACGAAGAAACGACAACACCCACGGGTACTGAAGAACGACTATAACTTGTAAGTACTAGGGAACGACTAACTACAGATACTGGGACACGACAATAGATACAGATACTGGGACACGACAATAGATACGGATACTGGGACACGACAATAGATACGGATACTGGGACACGACAATAGATACGGATACTGGGACACGACAATAGATACGGATACTGGGACACGACAATAGATACGGATACTGGGGACTAAAGTATCTATAGATAACAGAGAAGGAAAATAACTATATATATAAGAGAAGGAAAATAACTACAGATTCTAGGGAACAACCATAACCACCAGGGAACAACTGGGACTCAAGCTCCAGGGCCTGGTAGCACCACTTCACTACTACTACTACTACTACTACTACTACTACTACTACGACACTCAGCCACGACAACACTCCTCCCTTCCCCACTCAACCATCAACCTCATGGTTCCATACTGAACAAACAGGGTACAATGGTACCCTTAGTGGCCGCCCCAACTGATGGTGAACAAAAGAGAGGGTGTGACCCCTTTTACCTGCTTGTTCACCAGGTATATCAATTCTCCAATTAGCCAGCCTTATCTAACCTATTCTATTTCCCCTATTTTCCTTGTTGTCCGAATTCTCTGGTTTCAAAAACAATCCCGTTTTGACGTTTTTAGCTCGGGAACGCGGCTAGGTTTCGCCCGTTTTTCTGCTTATGAAAGTACTGTAGCTTCTGCCTAGCAGTCGTCATCTGATGATGGTCCAAAGACTAAAATATGGCAGGATGATATTTATTTCCAGTTCGTAGGTTAGTTGTGAATTTGGCAAAGGTGTTCTCTGCTGAATAAGTATAATGAATTTTTTTTGTTATAAATCTGCGAAAATATATCTAAACGTAACAAATATATATATATATATATAATATATATATATATATAATAATATATATATATATATATATATATATATATATATATATATATATATATATATATATACACATAGTGAACTCTATATCCCAACGACCACAGATCATTATCGGTGTAGACGCTTAGGGTCATGTGTACATATTGCAGGTGTGACGTGTACACACAATAACTGTGCACATGCAACAGGTGTTGAGGTGTACTCAGTGATTAACAAATCATCCCATTAATCCGAAGTATAATTCAACAGATCTTCAACATGCATAAATCATACTTCCCAAAACTGTGTTGTGAATGATCACAGTGTTGAATTGTGTTGTGAATGATACAAGACAGTCCTGAATTGTGTTGCCTGGATCGTCAGGTAATCAAGAGATCAGTTGCAACCTTGTGGAAAATTGCCTGATTCCCTTTGGGCTCTGAGCCAATCAGAGTACGGAGCCAATACGAGCCGGGAGCCAATCAGAGCCTCAAGCCAATCGTAGCTCAGAGCCAATCAGATCTCCTATCCAATGAGAGCTCTCAGCCAATCAGAACCAGAGAAAATTCTCAGAGAATCAAGACCTTAGGGCCAATCAGGTGCATGCCACTCAGTACGTGCCTTAAATCTGAGCATCTGTTGGAACGTAGACATCCAGTGACCATCAGACACTCAACGAATTGATGAGCTCAGTATTTGTTGTGTTACTCAGTATT